TAAAAGCACAAATTCTGTATAAATCCAAAATACCATAGAGTACCCAGACCTCAGTCGAAGCATTCGTTTATCTAGGTATAAACCCTTTGCGCGAAGAGTAACACTTGCCAGAGACACGGGGTACCACTTGATTTGCATCCACGAGCGTGACACAATTCTTTAACAATTGAAGTCCTTGGTGTAAAAAGGATCCAAGCCACAATTTGTCGTGAAGTGACTGTTTTAGCTCAAAACATTTGTTAACGAGGATTTTACTAGCCACATACAAATTATTTTACCTCTAATCCGAAAGATGTGCTATTTTTCGTAATATTTATATTTAAATAATGTTTCTAATTATATTTGACAGATTTAAAACAAATTAAAAATTTAATTTCCCAAAACTTACTTAATATGGCATGTAACCAACCTTATTACGCCAAGGTTTTCAATTTTTTCAATAATAAAAAAAATTGTTTAATCCGGGCCCGACTTTTCCCTCGAATCTAACAGAGATAGCACCATTCCGTCTTGCTTGGTTCTCGACCGCCAGATCAAAGACGCCGACACGGAGTTGTGGAGCTGTATTGTATAAGCTGTGCTAATACCATCAATTCTAACTAAATTTTGTCTTTTAAAGATTGGAGTTGAAGCCAATATACGAAAAGCTTTTTTACAAATTAATTTATGTCATAATGATAGAGATTTTCTTGAAGTTGATTTATTGGGACCATTGTATGCCAGAGATGGTAATAAATTATGAATATGTCTGTATTACCTGTGGAATTTACCGAGCTATACACTTGGAGCTTATTTCGTCTATTTTCATTAAAAGTTTTTTCATTCATTTAGAAGATTTATTTCTAGAAGAGGACGACCTTCAATTGTGTATTGGAATTAATTTAGTAGGGGTAAGAACTTTGGATTGGAATAAAATCAAAAATTACAGTTTGGACATAAAAATAGAATGGAAACTTATTCCAGTCACCGCCTCTTGGTGAAGTGGTTGATGAAAAGATTAGTTCGAGTTGTGAAAGATCTTCTCGGAAAGACCCTAGTCCGAGCTTCATTGACTTACGAAGAGTTAACCACAATTCTTTGTGTTGCGAGTCAGTCATTAACTCAAGACCTCTAACATATATCACAGAAAAAAATGCTGATTTCATAGCTCTGACTCTAGCCATGTTTCTACATGATATTCGCTCTCACTGAATTCCTGATATAGATGCCACTTTAAGTATTACAAATCGTTATAGATATAGGATGAAACTTAGAGAGCAACTACGTCGGCGATTTCATAATAAATTGGGCAATTAAAAATACAAGTGGGAGATGTTGTTTTAATTGACAGAGATAACAAGCAGAGGATTGACTGGCTTCAAGGTTATGTTCAGGAGCAGTGGCGGCTCGTGGTAATTTGAAATGGGTGTTCACTTTTTCCAATACTTTTAACATTTTTGTAAGTTCGGTCCAAAACTTTGTACAAGAGCCAATATCGCTGTTTTTTTTATTATTTGAGTTTGTATTAAATGTAGTTATTATCAACATCATACTATTTTCAAGCACTATAACTATTAATAAATAAATATTTTAGTTAGTGTGATATTTGTTTTGTTTTTAATACATTGAAAACCACCTATAAACATTATTAGTTAGTAAACTGACTTTTGTTCATAATTTGAGAATATTTTTAAATATATATAAGGTTATGTAGAAGGCTTGACATTGATTTTTGTGTAAAAAATATTATATGAAACTTTACCTACCATTTTTCAGTTTTAATTGTAAATTTTATCATTTTCACAATTTGTCACAGATGTCAAATAAAAAATATGTTTTTTAAATACCTACCTTTTAAAATAATAACTTTTGAATAAAATAAGAACTAAAATGTTTTATATGTTTATTTTAAGAGATCAGTCCCATCACAATACATACTATTACACAAATAAAAACTAGAATAAAGATATATAATGCCTGGCATTCTAAATGATACTCTTCGCAGTTTAACAGACTCCCTTAACTACCCATTTTCTACCAGATTGTTTTCACAATCAATAGGCCTCATCTCCTTATAGGGCTTGATTTTTACTAAAAATTTCATGTTGATATCGCTTTTCATTTTTGTCTTTTTGTTTTTAATTTGAATTTCAACCCCCACCTTTAAATCCTCCATATTTAATTAGATTTTTTTATAATTAAAGCCGCAGTGGCGGCTCGTTATAATTTAAAAAGGGTGTCCACAATTTTTAATTCTGTGCTCTATAGAAAAAAAAATTTACACAATGTCGGGTACAATATTAATTCCTCGATTAATACAGTGCAAGAAAGAAACGTCAAGTTTAAATTATAGAAATAATGCAAAAACATGCTTACCTAATATAATTAGTGTCAGGTTTTTGCTTGGTTCATTGGGTAGTTCAGTAGTTTAATAATAATAATAAAAAAGTGTTTTTTAATTTTTACTGATAAATGAGATAAATCCCTAACACCCGTTTTTGTCCTTTCTGATTTAGTATTTTCATTGTTTGCAAAAACTAAACAAGGAAAACAAAACAAAGCATGTTGTTTATCACACCCGCACAACCACGAAGTTTTTTTATATTGTTCAATCTTAAAAGTACGTTTAAACTTTCTGTTTCTTATGGCACATTCTTGAACAATGTTTATCTCCGATCGAGGTGGGCCATTCTTTTTTATACGCACTCGATTCTCGAAATTATGTTTATTTGTTTTTATAAATTTCACCGAATACGATTCCATCGTACATAAACACTAGTAAATTCACACACAACCTAAGACCAGTACAGCCAACCTCAAAACAACAAAAATTCGGTTCACGGAATACACAAATCCATAAAAAGTATAATTTGTAAAGGGATCTCGTGTCTCACTGAGTGTATTCTCACTTTCTTCTTTTATATATCGATAAACAAGGATACAAATATATTTAGGTCCATATTTATAAACAGAACTCAGCTGAGACGGAGTTGGGTAAGTCGCCTTGAACTAAAATCAAAGTTTGGTTACAACGTCTCTAAAGTTCCAAATGATTCCGGTGTCACACTGGAATTTAGAGATGGATATTGGCAAATCTGTAAGTGTTAAGTAGGTACATTTACGTTATTACTACTCATCTCTAAATTCGCGCTATATAACCGAACCCCAGGGGGGCTATTTTCAAACTCGAGAGAATTCATTTCTCTCAAGAGAAATGTCATACGTCAACGTAAAATCGTATTTTTAGGGCTCTTAGGGCCAGTGTGAACTCACTGACTGTTTCTCTCGGTTTATTTAGAGAAAATTAAAATCTTCCTAAGAATTTTAATCCTCGATGCCTTTAAAAACAACATTTCCACATTGACGTATGACATTTCTGATGAGAATCTTGAGAGAAATGAGTGCTCCCATACTTTGAAAATAGCCCCCCAGGTAGACGAAATGACAGTTTGTTTGATTTGGTAGTATTGCCAGAATATGTTTTTGTTATGTACCAGATTTGTCTAAAAAATATACCAGATTCCTTAAATGTACCAAATTTTTCGAATTCTATTTGCAGTGACATCTAATTTATTAAAGAGAAAAAAAGGGGATTTTTATAGATATCGAACCCAAACAAGGAACATAATATATTTAACACGTGAACACTGCCTCAAGCAGAATGAACTACATCTAGTACAATTGTGGATTGTACTAGACTGGCAACACTGGTTTGGCAACCTTGTTTGTGAGCGGCGCGCCAATTAATGTGTTCCTTTGACGTTTGAAGGATATATTGGCGTGTTGTTTTCTCTTTTTAACTTTATGCATTCACCAAATCGTCTCACTCGTGTTAGGCTCACTCATCATAATGCGCCACAGACACAGTATACTTAGGTATTCTGTGCCACAGAGACGCGATCAGCCATAGGGGAATGATGTACCAAAAATATAGATTAACACGTATGAAAATAAAAATATTAAAATTAAATTTATATTTTTATGTTATTTATGTAATTATAAAATAATGTGTTTTTATGAAATTTAATTGGGTGTTCACTGCACAAATGAACCAATGGAGAAACCGCCCCTGTTCAGGAGTTCATCCCAGGAAGAGATGGAAAAAATCGTGTGGCTATTTTAAAAACTGCATCTGGCGTAGTGGTGCGACCTCTGCAAAGAGTTTATCGACTTGAACTCCATTTTGGGTATATTAACACAGAAGATGTTACCCAAAAATTAAAAAGAGATAAACTTAATAACCCTGACAAAGACAGACCCTTGAATATTCCATCTGATGTGGTTACCACCACAAGAAGTGGAAGATAAGTGAAACCCCTAATTAGATTTGTACCAGAATGAGAATAATAATCAAGATGGGAGGATGTTAAAACGAATTCTGCAATACTGGAGAGCCTCCTGTATATCAAATAATCGGTGTTTTAACGACAGTTTTAATTTTTCTAAAAATATCATGTTAGTTTTTAATTATTTGTCAATTAGAAAGAAAGTTGTATTTGTGATAATATATTTTGAATTAGTTTTCCATTTATCACCGAGTAGGTGTCCTGTAATAAATCATTTTTTTACAATCTACAAACTGCTTAATGAACCTTCACTTCAAAACCCACTCCAAGGTATAAAACGCTTAAATTTGCCATTCGTAAACATATATATATATATCAAAATCAAATTTTAAAGGTATTTTGAGGGATTAAAATTCCGTACAAGGAAGTTGAAAAGAAAAAAAAATATTGGTTTACATTATTTTTTAGTCCTTTTCCGTAAAATAATCCAACATTTTAAAGATCCCGCTACCCAAACGCTTCTGAACTATTTATCAAGCGATTATGTCTTCGGGGTAAAATCCCTGGGATTTATTCCTTATTTATACAAGCAACAAGCCAATATATCTTCATACATTCCAGGCAATTTCGAATAGCTTCAAAGATCGATCCTCAACTAACAAGTGTATCTATTATCATCTCTCACGCACCTGACCGACGAAACCAAACCAACGTCTCATCCATCCATTCTTGAGAGAGGCGAGCATCTTTATTTTCGAATTTAGTTTCTGTAGCACCTGTATAACCGGAGCACACCGGAGTCATTCCTACCCCTTTTTTTCTTCGACGTTACACCTTTTCGACCGATTCCACCGGTTGTCTCAAGCCGATCAACATAACAGGTGATGGGTATCCGAAGTAGCATCGGGTTTGGTCGTTGCCAGCCGTTGCAAGCTCTGCACGTGAAAGCTCCAAGAAAGAAGAAACAGACAGTGCGTTGTAATCCGTTGTTACGTGAGTTTACGCCGAACGACCGAGCTACTATTCCGGTAGGTATTTCGTAACGTTCGGGAACAACGAACAGCCCCCGCAAAAACGTTATTTAGACATTCTTAATTAAAGTGAAATCGGTTTGGAAATTTCGAATGACATTATTTTTAATTCATGTCGGAATTTGAGTGTTAGTTTTTGGAATTATGCACATTTAGAAAAACGATTTGAAACTCGGAACGCAGTGACAGTTTTCCCGCGATTTGCATTTCCGGTAAAGTGCTGAGTGTTTTAAGGGATTTAACTTAATTCTCTTGGAAGGAATACATTAAATTTACCAAGTTTTCTGGCTAGACTTTTAAAATGTTTACTTTTTTCTTCGTAATTGTATGGTGATTTATTCACGGATCGGAGCGCTCTGTGCAGTGCCGAAGGATTTACTTAACAGATGCGTACAGATTAGTGGCAGTACTTATTAAAATGTTTGTTTTTGTAATCATTTAATTGTTTTAAGTGATTTATGGAGTGATTATTTCCACGGTTATTTACTTGGATTACACTGGGCTTTAACATGGATACCTATCTCTTCACAGTGTGTAAGTACATACTTATTTTGATTTATCCTACCGTGTAAAACCGTTTTTCTGCAATTTAGACTTATTAAAGCTTTATTTCATTAGCTTTTAAGTTAAACGAAATTACTTTATTTTGATAATTACCTGATCTATATTTAAAAAAAAAAAAAAAAAAAAAAGATTTTCATAGTACACTGAGAAAAATACAGCTTCGTTGTAATAGTCATATAACTTAGTTCAAATGACATGTAGAGGCTTTTTATTTGCAGATTTCAATTGGGGAGGTTTCAATACATAACAACCATACCCGCAATTAACTTTTGCTCCGTCTGAGGGGGTGCAATGAGGGGTGAAATTTAAAAAAATCATAGAAGCCACAATTGGTATTGTACACCTTTCAGCTTGGGATATATTATGTAGTTTGCTTTTTTCTTCATCCCTGATGCCATGCTGGAATTTGTCGAGCCGTTTGAGGGGATGCAATTAGAAAAGAAATTTAAAAAAAATCATAGAAGTCACAAATGGCTTTGTACACTTATCAGCTTGGGATATGTTATGTAGTTTGCTATTTTCTTCATCCCTGATACCATGCTGGAGTTTCTCGAGCCGTCTAAGGGAGTGCAATTAAGGGTAAAGGGTTGGGGTTCGGCTCTGGGGGCTAAGACATTTAGGATCAAGATATTGAGACCAAACTTGGTATATGGATATATTATCCTATAAAAATAAAAATTACATTAAAAAATTCATCCCTCCTCACCTCTATTCGATATGGTGGGGGTGGCATCCCCAAAAAATCAAATTAGAACTTTTTAAATAAAACAGGTAAAATCTAAGATTTTTTATACATACAAACTCAAAATTTCAATTCTTTTTATCAAATTTTTCCGAAATGTTTTTTGAACTTTGAAAAATTTTCAACCTGAACCATCATAGTTCGGATGTGGGGGCCGGGCATTTAAACATAGTTACAGAGGTCATAAAAATTTTATTTTTGGCATATTTACAATAGAAATAGAAAACATTTTTATATAAAAATTTTATCACCACCATCCCCTAAAGGGCGATGGAAGGGGTGGCATCTACAAAAAATAAAAAAAAAATTATCAAAAAAAATTGAAATTTTGGGTTTGTTTATAAAAAATCATAGACTTCAACTGTTTTTTTATTTAAAAAGTTCTAACCTAATTTTTTGGAGATGCCACCCCCACCATATTAGATGTGGGTGGGGAGGGGTGAATTTTTTTAATGCGATTTTTATTTTTATAAAATAATACATCCATATACTAAGTTTGGTTTCAATATCTCGACCCTAAAAGCCCTAGCCCCCAGAACCGAACCCCAACCGTGAAATAAAAAAAAAATAGAAGCCACAAATGGCTTTGTACACCTATTTTTTTAAGTATTTTTTGTACCTACATTATAATGTACTTGTGTGATAATATTTTTTAATACAGGAATAATTTTTTATTTTATATAAAGAAGTAGGTATATATGTTGAATTATTTTTTTTATGTATTTTCTGTACCTAAATTATAATTTACTACTATTTATGATTTTTTTTTAATTTTACCCCAATTGCACTCTCTCAGATGGCTCGACAAACTCCAGCATGTTATCAGGGATGAAGAAAAGAGCAAACTACATAACATGTTCCAACCAGAAAGGTGTACAAAGCCATTTGTGGCTTCTATGATTTTTTTAAATTTCACCCCCAATTGCACACCCTCAGACAGAATAAAAGTTAATTGTCATGTCATGTCCAGGGTTGGTAGAAATCTAAGAAATTAAAAATATATGAGTAGGTTTTTAGGTTATTTAGGTTTTTTAAGATTTTATAGGTTTTTTAGGTTTTTTGTTCATATATATGTCAAAAGTTATTATTAATAAAGTTAAACAAAAAATACAAGCAAAACTTGAAAAGTAGAGCTTTATTATATTAAAAAAATCACATTCTGCAAACAAAAAAAAAACTAAAAAGTGAAAAATAAATAAATTTTTTGTTATTTTTAATTGTCACTATCATTAATATATAACTTTTGCATTTGTTTTTATATACTCATTTTTGCATTCTTTTTAGTAGTGAAATTGTGAATTCCTAATATTTTTATTTAAAAAAAAACCTGTTCCTGCCAACCCTGGACATGTCATTTGAACCAAGTTTATTACAATTGAACTGTATTTTTCTCAGTGTACATTTGTAGATGTGGATAACTTCATACCCGTCTTATAGTTTATTTGTAAATAAATGATAACATGTTTATGATTCAGGAGATAAACTCCAATATAACATCATAAATCATTGACAGAGAAATTATAAAATAAAATGTTTAGTATTATTTGTTTCAAAATAAAATCGTTGGGTTCTCGTCTTAAGTATGTACAGTTCATCAAATTTCTAGAGGCTTTCGACGGCTAGACAGAGAAAGCACTACTGACAGGCATCCCGACGGATTTACGCAATGAAAGTACACTCTGCGCATCAAGTATTTCACTATTTCATTCAGACGTAAATGTCAGATGTAAATTTCGCTAAAACATTTCTTTTATTTTCGTTTGTGTTTTTTGCTCATTACAGTTTAATAGAACCTAAGTATGGAGTTTAGTAGCAAATTAAGAGGCCGCGTGATTAACAGTCAATCTCGCGAAATAATAGCCAATGTTATAGAGTTTATGAGAAGAGAAGGAAACTTTAATTCACCTTCAATACCATTTAAAAATGTAAATGATCGTGTTGCTGCAGCCACAGGAGTATCTAAAAACACTGTCGTCCGCATTTCTGAAGAGAAAAAAAGAATCGATAACCGTGAGATATCGGAATTTTCATCACCAAGAAAAACCATTAAAAAACCAAAAACAGTTGATGATATAGATGAAGCTGCACAAGAATCAAATTTTATTTTTTTATTATTAGATAGCTATTTTTGTTTCTGAGTTGTGTTCATTTACAGGCTCAATTTTTTTCCGTTTTTCCTTTTTGATTTTATATGGGGTTTCAAGTTGTTTTTGACTTATTTCGACGTAAATCACAACAACACACTTTTTTAATAAAGCAAACAAGTGTTAAGAGGTATATGTACGTGTAAACTACAATTACAAAAAATTGATATGAAACCCATGAAACCACCAACAAAAATGTAAAGCTAGCTTCCGTACTAGAACATGGTGTCATTCGTCGAGATAATTTATCGTTTTGTTTAATAGATCAAGAAATGTAAATATTCCCCTGTTATTTTTTATAAAATTATAAGAGAAATAAATTTTTTTCTAAATAGTATAGTTTATTATTTTGTAGAAAAACAAAATTTCGAAAATTTTTGTAATGTTTCAGAAACAACCGTTATTAATAATAGGTACTATTTTCCTTAATAAGGTAGAAATAAAATATAAACTATTTCCACGATTTACAAAGGCCTACAAAAAAAGTATAGGTATTTTCCGCTATCCTATAAAATTTATATTTTCTGACTCAATTTCAAAAGGTTGAAGGAATTCCAAAACACCTTTTATGGCATAATAATTATTTTCAATTCTACATACTATCTTTAGCTGCTTTTAAAAACGTTCTAAGAAAGTCCAATCAGACCAATTTAATCCCTAAACTATTCCACACTTTTAAAATTTAATTACCTAAAAATATTAAAAACTATTTAAAATAACTTGTTTAGCAGACTGTACAATAGCTATCTTAGTCACACGTAGCGCGTTCTCTGTCTGGGCGTCGAACACCTCTAGAGAGATATGTTTTATTGTCGTAAAAAAATTTACAAAAATTATATAGACAAAGCTTGTAACTTAAATACTAAACATATTATAAAAATAACTAAACAGCAGAAAAAACAAACAGACAAAATAGGAATAACAATTGCAATGGATATGCAATATCCGTCATTATAATTATTCTAATTTAATTTTTAAATTTAAATTTAAACTTTAATATTTAATTATTTAATTAATGCCATTGTATGTGGAACTCAAATGTCTAAGGTACGTTATAAAATTCTGCTACTGTGTAATATGGTCTTTCTAGAAGAAAAGCTTTAGCCAGTCTTCGGAACTTATCGTATGTATTTATAGATTTTAATTGCATCGGAAGGTTATTATACAATTTTTTGGCATTGTAGGTAATGTTTTAATAGGTCAGAAGTGGGCATTGTTAAATAAACATCAGTCTCTAAATTTCTTGTAGGATATCTACGAGTCGGTCTTTCGGATAAATTTTGAATGTGCTTGCGAACTAAGCAGACGGATTCGAAAATAAATAGAGCAGGAAGGGTTAGAATTTTGAAATTTTTGAAGTAATTTTCGCAATGTGTCCTACTACTTAAACCAAATACATAGCGGATTGCTCTTTTTTGCAGTTTAAAAATAGATTCGAAAAGGTATAAGCTACAAGAACCCCAGAAAGGTAAACCATAGCGAAGGTGAGATTCGAATAAGGAAAAGTAGGTTATTAATGCAGTAGAAGGAGTCAGCTCTTTAGAAACCGATTTAATGGCAAAACATGCGAAGGATAATTTTTTTGCTAAGGTATCTATATGAGCAGACCATTTTAGAGAATCGTCTATATAAAGACCTAAAAACTTGATTGAAGTCACCGTTTGGATCAGATTATTGTTTAAAGTTATAGGTTGTAAAGTACCTCTGTAAGACAATGCTACAGTTTTACTGGTGTTGAAACAAAGTCCATTCGAATCAGACCAGGACTTAATAGTCACTAGATCTTCACTTATGATAGATTGTAATGTCTGCATGTTAGAATTATTCCAGGTTACACTGGTGTCATCAGCAAATAAAGTAATTCTACCACTTATTCTTAAAATTTGATGAACTGTAATCTCTACAGGTAGAAAATATTTACAATTCAAAATCAACTTTCTTAGAAAGGATTAAATTTCTAGTCGACAGAAAATGTTATGCAGATTGTAAATTATTTTAGTTAAGATTTACATTTCTGCGAGCATTTCTGTTTACTTCCAACAAATTTTACTAAAAACGTAATCTCAACAGCATTTATGTCACAA